TACTTTATAAATTTGAGAATACTTTTTCATTTTTTTTGCAAAATACAATAAATTTATCGTAATATCTATTTTTTCCCCAGATACTAATAAATCTTTAATACTTTTTTAATCGAATATTTGTTTATAGTGCTCTCTCGGCGACTTTTTAAAATTTATTTTCCCAAAAACGAAACCACGAACAAAACGCTTTATTGCGTGTTTTTCAATTTGTTTTCACACGAGAAATTCTCCCTTGTTTGGTCGGACATGTTATGTTATAAAATGATATATCGCACTGTGTAATGTATATGTGTAATTTTGATAAATAAAGTTTAAACTATTACATGAGATAACGGTGAAACAAAAATTGAAACGATATTTCAAGTCGATATTTCATAAGGCTACAATTTCCTCTTTCTTTTTGCATCTCTGTACGCTGCGTATGCTACTATAATAAAGACAAAATGAAAGCTATTCTTCAAGTTCTGACGTTTAACATAGACAATATTACAAGATTATTAGGATCAATCAGTATGCTTATCAATTTTATCCATTAAATTGTAGAAATTTAAGATTCTTTTGAAACGATCATCTCAATTATTTTCCACCAATTACTCTTCATAAATGATAAATTTGACTTTACTTTCTTCCTAAACTAAATTTTCAACATCTACACATCATACATAAATTTATTCAATTATCTCATTTCGCCTCAGAAACGATGATCAGAACGATTTCAAACTCGTATAAAAATTTCGCGTAATAAAAAAAATATCAATTCAACTACTCGTAACAAACTCGAAATAATTCGTTTTTCACGCATGGAAGGATCGATCCCGATATTTCAACTTGAGTTTCGATTACATTCCCGTAATCGCTGGCCAGAAATTTGCAAAGAGTGCGCTTCGAAGGGAAAGTGTAATCGTGCAAACACACGGTCGAGGATTGCGCGTGGCCAAGTTGATGGCCGCTTCAAGCGAGAAACGTTCGAAAATCCCCGAGAAACTTGAGAGAGGGAATTGCGAGCGTACAGGTCAACCGCTCTGAATTTTCCGGATCGCCGGTACGTTTTCATTCCTGCGGAACTCGGGGCACTGTGAAAAGCGAAATATATATATATATATATATATATATATATATATTCCAAGCGTCGTCAAAGTTTCCTGGACAATAAAGAAATCGAAATAGTGGAGGGGGAGAGTTGGAAAGAAAAGACACCGAACGAAACGTGTACGTGTTCGCGCGCGCGAAGGAACTGAATTGTTTGGAATCTTTGACCCGTGTATAATTCGTAGGTAAAGCACCGAAAGGGAGTAATCGGCACCTGGCTTTGCGACAACACGAACAAAAAGAATAATTATAAATATATGGCCGCGCTCTTTTTCCAACTACTGGATATTCTTTCGATGCCCGTTTCAGTTCGCGTGTCAATAAGCTTTCGAGATATGAAAGATCCATCGACAGTCCGATTGGTAACAGCGAAGCTCTGGAAAGTATTTTGCATAATAAATCTCGAGATGATAATGAAATTATATGTTCAAAGTTTCACTTTGTAATCAGCTCGAGCGAAGCCAGCTTAAGTATTTTAAACATTTAGATAGTAAGATTTCTCTATCGTATCACGTAACTCTGTAAACCAGAAAAGAAAAATAGTAACTATTTTTTTTAAAATTCTACTCAAACCAAAATATCAACCATTCACACCAGCCCCGATTTTTGCATGTATAAAAAAAAAAAAAAACGTGAACGTGAAATCCATTTCCTCTGAAACTGGCAACTAAAACCCATCGTGCATTACAAAACGAAATAACTTTCCTGCTACCTTTACGATTTCCAACGCATCTGAACCAGCAAAAATAGCACGAAGCAAAATCGATACCTTAAAAATAAAAAAGAAGAATTTTGAAGAACGATGGATTATAGATAGATGCACAAAATCTTTGGAGAATAATTTCGTTGCGCGTGTTATTGCATCTTGGAGATGAGAAACACTTAACTACCAACTAAAATGACGCATCGACCGATCCTTAATATATACCGCAATCTTAAGGCGAAACGTAACCCATCGTTATCTCGTCCTCTCTTAATACCCTCCAGAATTATGGATGCGTTCCACCTTTTAGAACGCGCGAAACACGAAAGCTCGCACCCCATCCCACCCCTCTATAAACGCAATCCACCCTCCGTCGACCCCTCCCTCGGAATATACGAGCCGACCCGTCTCTCCGCGTCGAAGTTGGCAACAGCATCTGGAGCGTTAAGGCGAATGAGCGATGTGCCGGTGTCTTGCGGTATGATGGATCGCCCAATACCAGCCAATATGCAGTATTGCGCGCGGAGTGTGGCAAACTGGTATCCATGCATCAAATCGGCGCTAGACGGAAAGCGGGCGGTCTGGTCGCGTTTACAGGATGCAGTGTAACAACGCGCCGTGTTGTGTTCCACCAGCTTCTCGTGGTCAGGTTCTTGTCACCCATCCCCGTGGCCATCGTCGAGGGCGTGCTATACGGCGGCCATACGGCGCTTGCCGTGCTACACCGGATAAGCATCCACAATTTTCCGTTCGCCATTCGTAACCGGTGAATCGATGTTACGTACACCCGAATTGGCCGAGAAATTGTAGATGTCGCGTGTATCGAGGATGGTGTGTCTTGCAGGGTAATTACCGCGGTTGCGTGGCGTAATAGCTTGGTACGATGGAACGTTCGATGAAAGATTTTGGGTTTGTTTTTCTTTCCTTTTCTTTTTCTTTTTTTTTTTTTTTTTTTTTTTTTTTGAGTAAATTAAGAGTGTTAAGAAATCGAATGACGGTTATATTTTTCATGGTTTTGTAGTTCCAACGAGGGGAATTTTATTATTATTGGAAAAATGGTAATGTTAGTTGAAAAATTTTAAAACATTTCTTGTGTAATGACTTTTGGATATAAAAGTTCTTCGTTGGCACGAGACGTGTTCGATATTTAACTCGTACGAAGGTGGAAAAGTTAAGTTGGAAAGTGGGTTGTATTCTGGTCGTTAGAACCAAGAATTATATACGGAAAATATTAATAGTGAAAGTTTCCTCAAATGATAACATATCGAATTAAATTATTTTCTAAAATTTGACTGAATGATCTACGTCAAACAGTAAAAATTTGATTATACAAAATGTTTCCTTAATTGTTCTTTTTTTCATTATAAATTAAATACGATCATTATAGACGATTTTTATCATTAAAAATTTCGTGAACTGTTATCCATAAATATAACGAAATACTTTGCAACGATCCAATACACGTTTCCTCATCAACACTCTACAAACTTTTATAAATTTCACATTAATTGTACAGGCACGTCTACAAATAAAATTTTCAAGCTTTGTGACTCATCACATATCAATATTGCTGTTACAGCTATAGTGATTGAAATCACTATTTATTATTAATTAAGCAAAGATCTCTCAAATATTAAAACAACCATCGTTGTAACATCGTTGTTCTCGACTGAACTTTTTAAAAAGTGTAAACAATCTTAATAATCGAATCTGGCTGACGAACAATAAAAATTTTCAACATGCAATTATTCCATTCGCGATAAGCCAACGGAACGACTTACAACGGCTTATTTTGTAGTTCGTAGGTTTATTCATGAACCAGTGTCTATTAATTGTGGAAACGGCGCGTAGCGAATTCATTTTAATAATACCATCGTTGATTGCCATGCTGCTCGCGAACCACTTGCAGAGATTTTAATCGATCTCGAGCTTTCGATCTCGCACTTACTTTCCCTTGTTTTTTTTTTTCCTTTTTAATAACTTTATTTCACCGGCAATTTTTATTTCGAAAATAAGATATAAAAGTAATTTATTGCGGTGATAAAAATTGCGAAAGATAAGGAATATGTAATCTCTCTTCACAAAACACGAACACTCGAGTTGATTTAAAATGATATCCGCGTATTCGAGTTCAAGTACCTTCAAGTACTTTGAAAGATACGCTATGCTTATATGTCCATCGCAGTTAATAAGAGAGAAACAATTAAATAATTCTCAGAAGTATACACTCGCATTATTATCAAAAAAGATCTTCTATCAATGATACCAACCAAAAACTTCCACGTTCATTTTTATATAAATGCACTGATTATAAGTATAATCCAAACGATTCAAAATCTTTAACCAACAACGTGGAAGCCAAAGAATCGAGTTGTGTCTCTCGAGCACAAGGAAATAAATAATTCTCATAGAATTATATTCTCTCATTATTATCAAAAAAGATCTTCTATCAAAGATACCAACCAAAAACTTCCACGTTTATTTTTATATAAATGCACTGATTATAAGTATAATCCAAACGATTACTCGCATTATTATCAAAAAAGATCTTCTATCAAAGATACCAACCAAAAACTTCCACGTTCATTTTTATATAAATGCACTGATTATAAGTACAATCCAAACGATTCAAAATCTTTAACCAACAACGTGGAAGCCAAAGAACCAAGTTGTGTCTCCCGAGCACAAGGAAATAAATAATTCTCATAGAATTATATTCTCTCATTATTATCAAAAAAGATCTTCTATCAAAGATACCAACCAAAAACTTCCACGTTCATTTTTATATAATGCACTGATTATAAGTATAATCCAAACGATTACTTGCATTATTATCAAAAAAGATCTTCTATCAAAGATACCAACCAAAAACTTCCACGTTCATTTTTATATAAATGCACTGATTATAAGTATAATTCAAATTATTCTAAATTTTTAACCAACAACGTAGAAGCCAAAGAACCAAGTTGTGTCTCTCGAGCACAAGGAAATAAATAATTCTCATAGAATTATATTCTCTTATTATTATCAAAAAAGATCTTTTATCAAAAATACCAACCAAAAACTTCCACGTTCATTTTTATATAAATGCACTGATTATAAGTACAATCCAAACGATTCAAAATCTTTAACCAACAACGTGGAAGCCAAATAACCGAGTTGTGTCTCCGGAGCCCAAGGAAAGGAAGGAGAAAACGGCGTCACTCACCGAAACGTTAACGTCGTGAACGGTCTGTAGCTCTTATGGCTGTTAACGTCGCGCATAGGCGTGCCCCAAAAATCGTTCTTCAGGAGGGTGGTCAAAGGGGTTTGAGCGAGCACGTCCTTGTTCCTCACCACCGCGGGTATATCGTCGTGCACGAAATCACCACCTAACGCGTTCAAGTAACAAGCGACAGCGACCAAAGCGACCGTCGCGTAAATACACCATACGGGCGGTTCGCTCCCCTCCGTGTCGTTGCATCCGCCACGACCGATCCTTCTGCTGCTCTGGCAGCAGCAACCATTATTACGCCGTCTCATGACGATTCACAGTGGAAAACCGGCGGGTCAAACGTTCCTCCGCGATCGTCGGGAACGAAGACCGCACTTCTCATCGAGCCGCTCTCCTCTCATACGTCGCTATCTGCCGCGCCGATAAATCCTCGTCGAGCGTGGCCGCTGTACACCGTGGCGCGATTCGATCGATGATCGCATCTCAGACAACGCGATGGCGACGACAACGGCGACGACATCGACCGACCTTATTCTCCTTTTTCTTTTTTCCTTTTTTCCTTTTCCCCTCCTCCTCCCGTGAGAGAATCGAGCGAAAGCAAATATATTCCCTCGCAGCCGTTCCGTTCCACTCCGTTTACAGCAACGAATTTGGCGGAATTTGGGTGAACGTTCCCTTTAAACGATCTTCATCGAACGAGACGAAAGGGAGAAGAAGAAGAATTCGAAGGTCGGTTACTCGAAGGTGGGTCGCGCTCTCACTCTTCCACGAACTTCCACGCCACTTTGAGCATTCGTGGCGAGCTTGATAAATGACTGCGGAGGTTCATTATTTACCGGCCGGCCACGTCCAACGTGTCCGCTCTAAAGAGAGACGGTTTCGCGAGAGACTTGATTGCTCTTCCACGGATAATAGTTCTCGCATGGCGCTCGTTCGGTTCAGATTGTCCCCGCGGGAGAGCGGTTCTTCCACCTTTCAACCCCTCCTCCCTCGCTCACCATGCGTTCTAACAGCTCGTTACCGTCGCGGATATCGAATTGGACCGCGTCGAACCGACGATTATCGAGCTTTTCCACGAAACTGCCGCGATACCACCATCATTCCCGCGAAACAAAGACGGCGAACAACGAACTCGCGCGCGAATCGGGGAAAAAGAAAAGGAAAAAAAGACTCGAAGGAAACGAAATGTTCTCACTGAACGTGTTTTGCGTTTATAATTCCCATCGAGGGATACACTGACATCCAGGATTCCTTTTCACGATGTTTCACTTCGTATCACTTCGTTCAATAAAGATTCGATCCTTGTACGAAAAAAATGAAAATCACTTAGATCTTCTTGGTAGTTTCGTTACACGTGACTCGTTACACGCACTCCACTTAACGAATCGCAAATACAACACCAACAAGAGGTATCCACATCTCGTGTCGACGATCGAACGAACGATACGATTTTTCCTTTAATTTCTCCCCTCTCGTTCCAGAAGCCGTTCTCACGGCCAATCGACGGTTCCTATTCTCTTTCCGAACGTGTCGTCGTAAGATCAAAGGAGAACCAGCGGCGACATCGGTAAAAGGCGGAGACGTGCACACACGCGCGAGAAAACGGGTGTATGACCCAGATACGCGGCATCGTGGCCGGGGACACTTCTATTGCCACGACTTTCCTATGCATATAGATCCATACAAGCGGTAGTATCTGGCCGGAGGCGCATTCAGTTCCCGAATCCCCCGCAGTGACGCCCCTTTTCCTTCCACCCTTCGTTTCCACCTCTTCTCTCTTTCTTTCTTTCTTTTTTTTCTTTTTTTCACCCTTCACGCCTCTCGATTCCTCCTCCTCCTCCTCCTCCTCCTCTCACCTTCACATCCTACCTGTTTCCCCCCCACCGCGAAATTTCTCCGCCGCGGGTCGTCGAATCCCACCCCCCTTTACACTTCGATTCCTCGCACTGTCCCCACACGATACACCCCCCAAGGTTGGAACGGATCCTTCCGCGATACCACTCGAGATTCACGCCTCTCCACCACCCTAACGCGCGAGTGCCAGTTGACGGGGGATACGAATCGTCCACCTCTCCCCTTCCCCCTCTTCAACCCACTTTTCCACCCTCGTGTCCCGCACAGACTGTTTACACGTTCTCGTCCGGGGAAGCAGCGTTGGGACGCGTTTACGACGAGGCACAGTTACAACAGGTTGAAGCATTTGACGAAGGGCGGGCGAAACGGCAGGCGAATGGAAACGCGCGCTCATACGTTGCGAGCATACGGGAGACCAAGTACAAACGACCTAGAAAATTTCGTCGTTCTTGGCCCCTTGGATCGTTTGTTTCTCGCGGGTGGCGATCGGGGTAGATCTCGATCGATGTCGGGGATCGAGAACTGCACATCACGAACGGGATACGCGCGTAACGGGAAACGCACTCCGCGCCATCGAACGCCTGCCTGGTGGAACAGGAGCGATCGCCGCGAGCGCGATCAACCCCCTTCTTTGTCGAATTCGAGCGGGTCGTCGCGACGACGATAAGCGCAAGACTAAAGAACGACGGCATCCGCCCGGTTATATACCCGGCGCACTCTGACCCGCAAAGCCGCGCCCGCGCAACAGCCACCCCGGGGCCTTTTCCCTCTTGCCTTCGAAGCTGTCTCTCTCCCTTTCTCCCTTTTCTCGGCCAGCTTTCGTTGCCCTCGTCGCGTGCTCGCTTTCGCGTCGCGGCCCTCGTGTTTGTTTACTCGCGTCTTTTCCCCCAAATCTCACTTTGAAATCGAGTACGATTGAAGAGCCACCGTGGAGTGACGCCAATAATGGACGAGCCTCTCTTTCTTTTCTTCTTGTGTATAGATTTAGGGTTTGTTAAGAGGAATTGGTTAAGTTTTGGAAAGGAAGAATGGAAGGAGGATTAAGATTTATATTCTTCTCGTGGTTATTATGCACGTTATTATTGCAAGTAATCGATGGAACGAGTTAAATAGATTAAATTTTATAGAGACTTGTTTTATTGATTCGTAAAGAATGCACGTCTTGTAGATTTTTGTATATTGAAATTTTTCATAAATGATTAGTATTAATGTAATGGATATAATAAGAAAATAAAGTTAATAGGTAATATAATTTAATAGGTAATGATGTAATAATGCTTGGATGATAATAATAATGATGAAAAATTCATCCAGTGTGGAGTGCAGTGATTAACCATAATGCTCAAGAATGTTTAAATCGTTCGGAATTCTTTTTTTTTTTTTTCAACTAGTCGATTCTACCACAGCAAATATGAATTAATGAATATTAAATTTCTCACTTTGTAAACTTTTATACGAAATAATAAATAATAATATTTTGTAGTATGAAATAGTATGAAATAATGAAATGTAATTTAATTTACGTTTGAGGTTAGAATCCAACTTTTGTTACACAAAAAAAAAATAACAACACAAAGTTGCACAAATATATTCTCTTGTTGTAAAAATTTTAAATAAATATTTATACATATAAATTTTTTTTTGTCGTGACATATTTCATCTATAAATCGTATGAAAACATAACATTGTTAGAATATATAATGATATTTGTGCAAGCTTGTATATGATTTTCAATATTTATAATCGAATTTTATATTATTTCGTATAAAAAAGAAATTTTAAAAAATTTATCTCTAAAAAATAGATAAGTATTTTGTATATCTTAATTAGATTCATAAAAAAATTCTGTCGGAACAATGATCATTTTAATCGTTACACAATAGTAATATTTTTTTTTAAATTTTAACGAGATACATTTCATTTTTCTCACTTGTTTTTCTTTAATCGTACATTTTAAATATTCCTTCATTTTTCTGAATATAGTATATCTACATATAACATCATTGCTCTTTTTCCTTGGTAATCTGACGCACAATTTACCTTAATTACGACTCTGAAATCTCCGTTTCTCTCGTTTTACTCTCACTCGTTTCGTATTTTTAAATTTCTACTTAAAATTAAGTTTATAATATTATCAATTATATCTATACAGTCCAATAACTTGTTTTAATCTTTCAATTTAAACTATTTATTGTTCCTTTCCCGTATAAAAAGGAATAAAACAAAAATATAAATATAAACATCACACAAAACTTAAATAAACATTATACCTATACAACTAAATAATATTAAACAATCTTTTACTAGCTTACTTAACTTTGATTTAATTAATACCTCATGTGATATTCTTCTTTCAACTTAAAGATATATTCGTGAAAATCAAAATTTAACCGGATAAAAAGATTAGAAAGATAGATAATCGAGTTCTTCTTCTTAAACGAGCATCGAGGATTAAACGGAAAAGCAGAATCGATGATACTCGAATCAGTAAAGATAAATGAGGATTCAAGTTCTCGTTATGAGAACGATGATGCGATAAAGCTGCACAGCAAAGTGTTACAATCGAGAACACGTTTCATTCGTTTCCACGACATTCTTTCCCTATTGATCGGATTCGTTCGCGGAAACCATTTGAACAGCGTTCAAATACGCTTAAAAAGTCGAATTAACGATAAACGTTGGACAGCTGCAATCGTTACCACACGGACGACATCGTAAAAACGATACCAGGTTGGTCAGGTTGTAAAGGAAGAACATGGGAAGGGTTGTGGGGGAAGAAAAGAGGCGCAAAGTGGATCGATATACCGGTTTTTCGACGCCGCACGTCGTTCGACGCCGCAGAAAAATAAGCTTCGATCGATCATGGAATTTCGGCCTGTCGAATGTACAACGTTTTATCATCACAACGATTTGCCGAGGCAAACATTGGCGCCGATCCGCGACGATATTGCTCGCGTCGACGGTCAATCTTTTAATCTTGCGTACACGCGACGTGCATGTAACTAAATAACCGTGCGATTTCCGTCATGAAAAATCGGGGAAATTAATGCAACGTTCCGGATTTCATTCTGTCGCGATGGAGATGATGATGATCCGTTTTGACGAACTGGTGACATGGATTTTTGAAAATTTGAAACGAAAATTGGAATTCTCCGTATTCGAAGAAGATAATGCTACTTATTTGTTAACTCTTCGTCAATTCGAATAATTATGGAACGAAATAAGATTTAATTTTTAATTTAGAATTATATCTAATAAAATTTATCGATATTTTATATACATATGTATATAATTCTTCAAAAATATTGATTATTAGACTGTGGATTTTTATTAAGAATTAAAATATAGTAAAAACAATATATTATAATATGTAAATTATATATCTGGATTTTATATTTGTCGATAACCCGTGAATTTTGATGATTTTTTTAAATAAATTATAGGGGGGAAAATTTTGAAATATTACAATCAATGCGATGTAAAATATATTTACATGAAAATTTCGCTGCATATTAATTAACTTTCGATTTTAAATAAGATAAAAAAACCTAGATCGATCATTCTTCGATTATTTTATATTCCAATCATAATAACCAGAGACAAATAATTTATTTCCATTATCAGTCAAGAGCAATATTATATTATATTTATAATGAACGAACTGTAAAGAAAGGAGCAAG